GCTGTCCCAGGCGGGTCTCGAACCCGCAGGCTCAGGCAATCCACTCACCTCAGCCTCTCAAAGGCGCGGGATTACAGGCTGAGCCACCGAGCCTGGCTAAGAGCCAATTCTGAAGGGCAAGAGTGGTGGGACTCAAGTTACTGCTCCCCAAATGGGGACAAGGATACTGTGCCCAGAGAAGAGTGATGTCGGGTCCTCACTACTCCAGTCCACGTCAAATCACGTATGGCCGCATCTCTCCAAGTGGACTGAAACTCTGAGGGGGCCGGGGACCTGGCTCAGCCCTGAGCCACTATGGGTGCTGGACAAATATTGGACAGACCCAAGGTCTGCGGCTGGTGCTCATGAACCATGCAAAACCCTAAAGCGTGGTCTGAAATGCTGGGGACAGTGGAGTGGCAGTTGAGGGAGGGCGTGGGGTTAGCCAAGGGATCTGGATATTAGGCCTAGTCCTGCCTCTGAGTGCTGTGTGGTCACAGTCCATCTTACCAGGAAAAAATCCTGAGCCCCAATGCATGCCTCTAAGAGGTATTGTGAAGATTAATGACATATAAAGGGGTGGGGTTACCTCCCAAACCGGAATTATCAAGGGCGGGCCTCTTGCAGTATAGGCTTCCTCAGCTAGATAAGTGTTCTAGGAGCCCAATGGCATCAGGGTACCAGCTAGTGTTGTGAGAGAGGCTGCATTCAGCTTCAGTGAATCTTTTTGTGGCAAACAGGTGACTGGGTCTTTCACTATGACAACATACCTGCCTATGCCATGCTGAGTGTTTGGCAGTTTGGGGCCAAAACCAGCACGATCCCTGTGCCCCACCCTCCCTATTCACCCGCTGCCATCCTGAGCAACTTTTTTTGTTTCCCCAGATGAAAAAATTCCTCAAAGGGAAATGCTTTGCTGATGTGGAAGAGGTGAAACAAAAAACAGCAGAAGCACTAAAAAGCATCAAAATTGACAAGTTCAAAAACTGTTTTGAGCAGTGGAAAAAGTGTCTCAATAGGTGTATTGCATCCATCAGAGAGTACTCTGAAGGTGAATGAAGTTTAAATGTGTAAGAATAAATACACAAGTTTTTAATAAATAAATTCCATTTTTTGGGCCCCCCTCATAATATGTGGGGAAAGTGTTCTGCAGACTGACCGTACAGTAACTCACACGGTCCCAGGCTGCCTCTTAGAGAGGCCTTGCGCACCCTGGACCAGCCCCTCACCTGGAGCTGGAGGGAAGCCAGCAGCTGCCTCCTCCTCTGCTCACTTATCTCCTGGACCCTGGTCCACTGCATCTGCACTGTCTGCAGCTGCTTTCTGATCCTGGGGGAGCAGGTGGAAGCAGGGGAGATTGTAGGGGAAGGCTTCTTTCTGCCCCAAGGCACACCCCAACCCAGGTGACTCCTCTGCCCCTCCCCCCAGCAAACCCCCAGCCTCAGGGCAGCAGTCTGTGCAGGCTGAGAAAGAAAGGGCGGCAGGAGCTACAGACTGAGGACAGGCTCACGTGAGGGCTGCAGGGTGTTGGCTTTCAACCAGCTTCTCTCCATGTGCCTGCAGAGCCTTTGCCCGAAGGCCCAGGATGCCCAGGAGTCGCCCAAACTCTTGGTGCTGCTGTAGCAGGCTCTGGGCCTCCCTCACGTCCTCCTGGGTGTACAGAGACCAGAGGTCACGCCTGCGAGGACAGGGTCAGCACCATTTCTCCTACCACTGCCCCAGGGGCCTCCAGCCCAGCCTGGCCTCTGGACCCAAGGAAGGGGACAAGCTCCCTCAGTGATGGGTGAGCAACGCCCTAGCTCCACATGCTCCCTGGCTCCATACCCCGAGGTTGTCCAGGTGGAGGAAGGCCTCGTGGTTGGCACAGGTGGCAGTGAAACCATCCACTTCTCGGCCAAACCTCTGCAGTTCCAGCCCCTCCTGCAGCCGCTGCTGCCTCTGCTCCCATGCAGCCTCCAGTTCCCGGCCTTGCTTGTCCAGGAGCCTCAGCACATGAGCCAATTCTTGGGAGTCTGGGGAGTCCAAGGCTGCCATGGGCTGGCCCTGAGCCTCCAGCTGCTGCAGCCTGACCAGGATGACAAGCAGGGGGTCAGACCTCATCTGGCTTCCCTCACCAGCCTCCTTCCCCCCTCACCTCCAGGGTTCATTCTTTGGAGCTCTGATGTGAGGGTGACTGGCAGGAGGGGCCTGAGGCTGTTTAGCCCCGTGAGTTCACTTGTCTCTTAGGACAGCTATGCCCTGGTCCATAAATGAGACAGTGAATGTAACAGGCCGAGCAGAGTGCTTCGGATGCAAGTGTTCCCATGCTCTCTGTCAGCTCCACCTGACCATCCTGTAGGGGTGGGCTCCTAATGGTGGATGCCCAGGCAAGCAGGCATGCTGAAGCATCACAGCATGACAGAGAAAAATCACTTAAACCACGTACACATCAGGCTACAGGGCTCTTCATGCCACATGGAGACTTTAATTAGAAAAGGTGTCCCTTTCCATTGGGGGCAGTCCACACAGCTTGGGGACAGGGAACATCATTGTATGGATTAGAAAAGGCTTTGCTTCCTCTGAGCTGCTACAGCAGCCCTGAACCAGATAGTAGAGTCTGGCAGGCAGAGGACAGGATGGATTCCAGTGCTCACTTGACCGCCTTGAGACTGCATGGTGGTAGCCTTGGCTGTCCACCAGCCCATCACATCTTTCTGCAGAAGAGAAGAACTGCCATACTGAAGAGGTGGGTATCTCAGTCTCATGGGAGGGTCCTGAGCCATTTGAGTTCAGGGGCCGGTGGGGTCTGTGTTACCCAGAATAGTGGAAGAGGCTAGACTGCCCGGACCAAGAGCAAGCCATCAGGCTCAGCTGGACGGGGCCTGGCTAGGCCTGGACTGGAGAGAGCCTCCAGGCAGCTCAATGTCCTTGGGTCCCTCCCTGAAGCATATAGGCTGCCTGATTCAGCCCTAATCACACCCTCCTCCTTGCATACTTGCCTCAAGTTCCATTCTAGAAACCAGCCTGAACCACTCCCCTGGGTGATTCCACTGCTTCCTGCCACGGCCTTTCTGGGCCTGATCCCCTCAGGCCTTGCCCAGCCCAAAGTGCTTTCTGTCTGTTCTCCTGTCCTGACCTCTCCTGCCGCAGGTGAATCTCCTCCAACAGGTCTCGGTGCTCCTGCAGCAGCCGGTGGGCTGAGGCCACGTCCACCGGCTCCTCCTGGCTGCGCAGCTGAGTCTGGACGCTCTTTGCCCACAGCAGCAGTCGCCGGCTCTCCTGCAGGAAGCTCTCCTGGGCCTGAACCTCAGCCTGGACCTGGGCCTGTTGGGCCACTCGTCTCTGTGCTTGCTTCAGTAGCTCCTGCAGCGTCTCCACCTGTCCTTGCAGGGGCTGGCTCTCTGTGGGGCCGGACTCCTCAACCCTGAGGGACAGAGCCCATTATATAGTCAATGCCCTACCCTTGGCCCCATGCCCCAGGCATCTGTCCTCTGCCCAGGCCTGTGTTCCCCAGGGAAAGTGACTCTGAAAGCCTACTCCACCCTCCACCTAGGGGCAGCAAGAACACGTGGCTCTCCCTTTCCCTGTGAGCATTTTCTCTGATTGTTCCTTCACCTTTGCCTAAGCCCCTCTTACAGCACATCCTACCCATCCTCTTCCCATCCCAACTCTGTCCTCTTCCTCATTCCATCACTTAGTCCTCCCTGCCTCCCAGTGCGCCACCACTGTGCTGGACCCGGCTGTACTTTATGGCCACCCTTTGGAGGGCTTGGATCTTCCTCTCCAGCACCAGGATCTTCTTCTGGGCCTGTTGCAGGGTGCAGTGGGTATCCTTTGAGCTCCCCTGCTCCAGGGCCTCCAGCTTGAGTATCATATCTTGCAACTGGGCCTGTGTGGGTCCACACTCCTGCAGAAAACTGCACATATCCATGCTGCGTGCCAGCTGCACGGCCTTTTCCTTCTTCAGGGCCTCCAGCTGCCCCCACCTGGGCAGAGGGTACAGGAATGTCTCCATCACAGGGATGCCACCCTTGGGCTTTGGCCAGAGCCACCCACAACAAAAGCTGTCAGATTAGCTGTCCCTTGACCTCTCCTTTCTGTATCTGACATGTCCAGTCTCTACACCTGGCATTGTGGGAGGTGGATAAGGTGTCATTCAGGCCTGACCAGGACACTGCTTCCACCCCGCCCCAATTACCCTTCACTTTCTCCTCATGGCTCAGTTCTCACCTCTGGCTCAGTTCCTCCTGCTGTTGTTGGATTTTTGTGGCATCCCCAGGACACCTCTGCTTCAGCTTCTCAGCAGAACTACTGACCTCAGTCCAGTGGCCCTTTCCCACAACCAGTGCAGTGAGGACGTTCTGAAGAAAAGGAGAACCCAGGCCTCTGGGGAGGCTTTTTCTCTTTCCACACACCCCTGAGAACTATGAAGGGCCTCCGATGTGCTGCCTGCCTCTGGAAGAACAGCCATCCGAGTCCTTACAGGGCCTGGAGGGCCTCAAAACTCAATTCAACCTAGTTCCCTGCTACCCTCCCCAAGACAGGACCACAGTTAAGAGGGAGAACTGAGGCACAGCAGTGAATCCTAGGAAGGCAGAAGCAAGGTAAGGAAGGACCAAACATCCAAGGCTCCCTCAGCTCCTGGGGGCTGTACCTCATATTTGAGCTGCATGACCTCCAGGTTGCTGGCCAGGGGATGCAGCCTTCGCAGTAGCATGGTCTGCTCCTCCAGCCATGACTGGAGCTCCTCACAGGAGCTGTAGAAGCCAAACAGGGCCACCATCTCCTCCAACCGGGCCCTGCGGCGCTGAAGAGATGCAGCCCAGGGTGAGGTTCATGGCCCCTCATAGGGCCTTCACTTCAGGTCCAGGGCATGCTTCTTCCTACCGCTCCCCCCAAGCAGAGCCCAGGGCCAGGACCAGAGAGGGTCTATGCTCCACTGCTGGACCCTACGTCCTCTCTCAGAGGCCTCAGGGCAACCCATGGAGGGAGCTGGCAAGCGCTTAAGCTGAGAGTAAAGGGCACTGGCAGAGTCTATACTCATCTGGCCTTGCCCTGTCCGAGCCCCTAGGTGCAAGCCCTGCTCTTCGATAAAATCTACACTGCTCCCGTGGGCCTTGGCTCTGCCAGGTCAGGACCCACTTGCCTCTCCAGGCTTTCATCAGGCCAAGACCTCCCTGGCCTCTGTGCTCCAGGCACCCGGACCTTACCTTCCTCCACTGGCCTCCTTCCTGTCTTTGCTCAGGTCCTGGCCAGCACCCATCTTTATCTGTGCTCTGTCTCTTATTGTCAAGTCTCAGCTTAAATGTCCTTTCCTCCAAGGTGCCCTTCCTGGCCCCTCAGCCTGACCTGGGCTCCCTTCTCATGGGCTTCCATCACACCCTCATCCATCTAATGACTTATTTGACATTTTCTCAGCCATGAGGGAAGCTCCTTGAGGAATCCTCCTTGAGGGCAGTCACTGATTTGTCCTCTGGGATTGTGGCACAGGTGATCAATGAGCATTTCTTGAACAAGGAGCAGTACCTCCGCCAGGGCCCGCAGGCCCTTATAGTCCTGGCTCAAGCGATCTTGTGTCTGAAGTATGGTGTTGGCATCAAAATCAGGATCAGGTTCAACTGGGAGGGCCATCTTCCAGATGCCCCCCAGGCCACAGTGGCAGGAAGACTCACTCCAGGCCCCTGGGTTCCTCAGACTTTCTCCTGGAGGGCTCAGGACAGACATTGCCTGTGTGGGCAGAGGCAGAGTGGCAGCAGGGCCTTTGGTCAGCCTACCTTCCCAGATTTGGAGGACCTGAGCTGCAGCTCAAAGGGTACACAGGACATGGTTGGGCAGAGATGAGGTCTGGGACATGGAGCTTCCTTATGGTTGAGAGTAGAGGAATCAAACATGAGCAGAATCTGAAGGCGTTGATTACCACATCCTGAGCCACATACACAGCTTCTTGAAAGGGGGCTGCAAACCCCTGAAGGGGCTGGGCCAAACTGCCTACCAGTCATGTGGTTTTAAGAACTGGGATCCAATGAACTGAGAAAGCAGCCAGGTGCAGTGATGAGGCCACCCTAAACCAACAAGAGCTAAGTCAGAAAAGTCAAACAGGGCTTAAGGGTCACTTCAGGCCAGGCATTGACAGTAAAGGGGACATTCCTGGAGGAACCTACTTGCTCTGAGCTATGTCAGGCAAAGTGAACCAGGCTTCGAACTACGTGGGGCAAAGCTCTATTTGGATGACCTCGATTGGTGTGCGCAGACAGGATTCCACTGTCTGGGCCGCGTCAACAGGTGAGACGTCGCTGAGCATGGGGAGGGGTGCACGCCCGCGCCCACTGGAAGCCACGACTCCCGGGGCAGGGGCCATAAAGGCCTTCCCGTTTCCGCCCTCTGTCTGGCCCAGTGGCGCTGGAGCACAAGAGAGAGGGTGCCGGGCGGGGACCACGAACGCTTTGGTCTCCGAGTTAGACGCCAGTCTGGGTCCCTTCCGGGCCCCCACCCGCACCGTGAGAGACGCCCGGGCCGCGGCCGCCCGCGCCTGCTCGTCCAGTCGCCGCAGCTCGGTCGCGAAGGCGCGCAGGGCGCGCTCCAGCCGCACGTGGCGCCGCAGCAGGGCCTCGGCGGCCGCCTGGTCCTCCCCGCAGGCCACGCTCTCCAGCGAGGGCCGCCGCTCTCGCAGCCACGAGCTGGCCTCCTCGGCGTCCGCGAA